GAGACTGTCTCAAAAAAAAAAAAGAAGAAAAGCCTAAAGTGAAGGACTTAAGCTCCCACCATTAGAAAAAAACCACAGGATAGAGGAAAGCAAATGAAATCCAAACTAATCAGAAGATAATAAATAATAAAAATGAGAGCAGAAATTAATAACAGAAAGAAAATCAATAAAGCTGGTTTATAAAAATAATATTGATAAACTTTTAGACAAAGTGATTAGGAGAAAGAGAAAACACAAATTTCAATATGGAAACTACACAGGTGACATCATTATAAATTCTACAGATATTCAAAGGATAAAGGACCAGGCAAGGTAACACCACTGGCACTACCGGGCAACAGAGCAAGACTCTGTCTCAAGAAAAAAAGGATAAAGGAATATTACAAAATTTATGCCAATATATTCAACCACTTACATGAAATGGGCAAATTCCTTGAAAGATATAAATTATGAAAGCTCATTCAGGAAGAAATAAATTACCCAAATAGTGGTAGTATCTACTAAAGAAATTAAATTTGTAGTAAAAAAATTTCCCACTAAATAAAAATAAATCCAAGTAGAGATGGCTTTCATTGGTAAAGTCTACCAAAAATTTAAGGAAGACATAATACCAATTGTACAAACTCTTCCAGAAAATAGAAGAGGAGGAAACACTTCCCAATTCATCCTATACTGCCAGCACTCTTGCGATAAAAAGCAATTTTTTTTTTCTTTTAAAGACCTTCGAGCAAGGTAACCAGATCCCCCTCATTCCTGATGTTTCCTCTTAGTAATTTTCCATCCACTGACCCCCACCCTGCTCCTTGGCTATAAATTTCCACTCACCCATGCTGTACTTGGAGTTGGAGTTGAGCCCAAACTCTCTCCTCCACTGCAAGAAGCTGTTGCAGTGATCCCTATACCTCTCGTGATGGTCCTGAATAAAGGAAGAGACTTTTATTTAGGACCATTACGATAGGGTCATTGAATAATGTTGTCTTTAACAGCCCCCATGCTCTGGTCTGGAGGTCCTCATTCCACATGCATTCAAAGCGATCCAGGTACTGCCAGTGAATTCTGCCCAGAACAGAGTCTCATGCTCACCTGCATGTTAGAACCCTCTTGGGGGCCTTTTGAAAAACCCCAGTGCCTAGGCCCCATACTGGACACTCTGGGTGGAGCCTGGTTTTCAGTGTTTTTTTGAGACAGAGTCTCACTTTGTTGCCCAGGCTAGAGTGAGTGCCATGGCGTCAGCCTAGCTCACAGCAACCTCAAACTCCTGGGCTCAAGCAATCCTATGCCTCAGCCTCCGCGAGTAGCTGGGACTAAGGCATGCGCCACCATGCGGTTGGATTTTTTCTATAATTATTAGTTGGGCAATAATTTCTTCTATTATAGTAAAGACAGGTCTCACTCCTTGCTCCAGGGTGGTTTTCAAACCTCCCTGACCTCAGCAATCGCCGCTCAGTCTCCAAGATGCTAGTTACAGGCGTGACCAGCCGCACCCCGGCCATAACGCTTATATGTAAACATCTTTATCTATCCGTTTAGGAACCTATCTCCTGACTAGAAGTAAGCTTACATATGGCTTACTTGTTCCGTGCTGTGTGCCCACTGCCTAAAACAGAGCCGGTCTGTATTAGCACCAAGTAAGTATTTACTGAATGGTTGAGTCCCCAACCCTGCCGTGCAGACCTCCTCACCCTGGCCCCCCTGCCCTGGTGACGCAGCAAGGCAGGAAAGTCCCCTTTATAAAACAGCTCCTGATGGATCTTCCTGCCTGGAATCTTCGGCCCCCAAGATGCGGTCACGCTCCTAGCCCCAGACATGCATCTCATGTCCCGGGGCTCAGCCCTCCTTCAGCAATTTTACTCCTTGCTCCTGTTCCACCCTGGTCCCGGTCACAACTCGACCTCTCCCTGCTGTCTGCATGCATGCCTGCACCTCTCCCCACCTTGGTGCCCTCAGCTCGGCCGCTCCCTTTGCCTGGACAGCATTCCCTCCTGTTGAAGGTCTAGTGCAATGACACCTTCCTGGGACAGCTGGCTTCAGGTCAGGATATATGAGGCCCCTCTCTGCTCCAAGTCGCCTCAGCACATGGCTGCACCCACCTGAGAACTCTTATCACATCCTGCCATGCATCTGTGGAAAGTGGACCACTCATCTTGGCCTGCCTCTCCAGGGTGAACTTTTATGGCCTGTGCTGGCTCAGGGAAGGTATCATAGATCCACTGAATGAATGGATAAGTGAAACACATTAACGAATGGTCTGGCAGGCCTGCAAACACGAGAGCAAGAAAGGCTTCCAAGAGAAGGAGGTCGTAAGCTCCTGAGGTGTTAGAAGCATGGCTAGACATCAGAGGGGGGCTGGTTTCTGTCCTTGCAATATAGGGTTTTCTAATGGCTGGAGCAGTCCAGTTGGAATGGACTAACAGCTTCTCCAGCCTCTCTCTCCCCTTTCCTGGCGTCCTGGTCCCCCGCCCTTGTAAAGGATGGCGGCGATACAGACGCGTCCAGCTGGCTGGCCTACCCACCTGGCCCAGGTCCAAGATGAAGCAGTCCCCAGTGTTGAAGCTGTCCCAGCTCAGCGCCCCGCCTCGGTGGCCACGGATGTTCTTCTTCCCCTTCCACCTGGTAGAGTTTTCTTGATAGCCCTGGGGTGCCTGGGGACGTCTTGTGAAAGGCTGACTCCACACCCGCCTTCCTGCAGCACAGACGGCCAGGTGAGTGGACTGGCAGGGGGCCCGGAGCCCTCCGTCCCCAGCCCCATTGGGAGACAGACAGAAAGGTGAGGACCCGCCCTGTGGACACCAGGAACTTGCGCAGGTGAAGAACTAGCTGGAAGCAGGCTGGCTCTGAGAGAAGCAGCAGGGTAGGGGGTGCCTGGAGGTGGCTCTGACCTGGTACTTGAGCCAACGGGGGAAGTACGCTCATGAGAGGTCGGACTCGTTGCCCTGCCCTCGCGGTGCTGCACAGGCCGCTCCCCCAAGCAGGGTGTTGAGGTGCACGGCCAGCACAGCGCAGGCGCCCGCTGCTCATCCCGGGACATGCTGGCCTGGGACGGGTGGGAGGTGACAGGGCAAAGCCCTTGAGACCCATGCTAGCCCCCACCCCTGCCTGGGCCAGGCCCCTACCCATCCCAACCCTTACCTATCCACAGGTGCAGATGGGAGAGCTCTCCGGGCCATTGTGCAGCACTAGGTAGGAGTCCCCGAGAAGAAACACGCCCTGGTTCTCTGGTGCCACCGGCACTGGCTTCAGCTTCTCAACCCGCCACACGTGGAGGCCGGGGTCCTGCACTGAGCCTGGGAATGGAGAGCCACTGTGGGAGAGAGAGGGTTGGCAGTGGCCTCAACAGCACAGAGACTGGGCAGGCCTGGGGGCTGGTTTGAGGAGAGCAGTGAGGAGGGGCAGCCCTTGGACATGAAGAAGAGGAAGGCAAAAAGGAGATGGGTCCACAGCCTACCTCTGGGGGATGGGCGAGTACATGCTGTTTGCTGATCTGGAAGACAGGAGAAGCCATTATTACTACAAATGCCATAACAACCACCTCTCACGCTGGTCTGGGGAGGCCCTTCCAGGTGGGCAAGTACTTTCACATTTATCAACTACTTCATCTTCAGGAGCCCAAGAGGAGATTATCCTGGGTTCCATTATGCAGGCAAGGAAAACAGAGCTCAGAGAGTCCAAGTTCAAAGCACAAAGCTAGTGAGTGGCTCACAGAAGCCAAGTCTCTGACCCCTGGGCCAGTATATTCCCCTGCCATGACCTGTCAGCCACACCTCTTTCTGCTTCAGATGCCCTGACTCTGGGTATTGCATGAGGCTGGGATGCAGCCCTCTAAGCAAAGAACTGCTTGTATTAGAAAGCCTAAAGTCAGGCTGGGTGCGGTGGCTCACAGCCTGTTATCCTAGCACTCTGGGAGCCGAGGTGGGTGGATTGCTCAAAGTCAGGAGTTCGAAACCAGCCTGAACAAGAGCGAGACCATCCTCCTACTGTAAAATAGAAAGAATTAATTGGCCAACTAAAATATATAGAAAAAATTAGCCAGGCATGGTGGCACATGCCTGTAGTCCACGGTATTCGGGAGGCTGAGAAGGAGGATCGCTTGAGCCCAGGAGTTTGAGGTTGCTGTGAGCTAGGCTGACGCCATGGCACTCACTGTAGCTGGGCAACAAAGTGAGACTGTCTCAAAAAAAAAAAAGAAGAAAAACCTAAAGTCAAGAACTTAAGCTCCCACCATTAGAAAAAAAAACCACAGGATAAGGAAAAGCAAATGAAATCCAAACTAATCAGAAGATAATAAAAATGAGAGCAGAAATTAATAAACAGAAAGAAAATCAATAAAGCTGGTTTATAAAAAATAATGTTCTACTTTCCCCCCTCCTCACTACTGCACTTGACTAGTCTTAAAAAAAAAAAAAAATAATAATGTTGATAAACTTTTAGACAAAGTGATTAGGAGAAAGAGAAAACACAAATTTCCAATATGGAAACTACACAGGTGACATCATTATAAATTCTACAGATATTCAAAGGATAAAGGGACCAGGCAAGGTAACACCACTGCACTACCGGGGCAACAGAGCAAGACTCTGTCTCAAGAAAAAAAGGATAAAGGGAATACTACAAAAATTTTATGCCAATATATTCAACCACTTACATGAAATGGGCAAATTCCTTGAAAGATATAAATTATGAAAGCTCATTCAGGAAGAAATAAATTACCCAAATAGTGGTAATATCTACTAAAGAAATTAAATTTGTAGTAAAAAAATTTCCCACTAAAATAAAAATAAATCCAAGTAGAGATGGCTTTCATTGGTAAAGTCTACCAAAAATTTAAGGAAGACATAATACCAATTGTACAAACTCTTCCAGAAAATAGAAGAGGAGGAAACACTTCCCCAATTCATCCTATACTGCCAGCACTCTTGCGATAAAAAAGCAGATAAATATGTTATAAGAAAAGAAAATCACAGACCAATATCCCTGATGAATAGACACAAAAATATTAACAAAAGTTTAGCAAATAAAATTAAATAAGATATAAAAAGAACAAACCATGATGACCAAATGAGGTTTACACCAGGAATACAAGTTTGGTTTAACATCTGAACATTGGGGTGACTATAGCTAATAAAAATGCAGTGTATATTTCAAGATAGAAGAGAAGATTTTGAAAGTTACCACCACAAAGAAATGATAAATGTTTAAAGTAATGAACATTAATATAATGGATCTTTATATTAATACAATGTATATGTGCACTGAAACATTTCACTGTACCCTGTCAATGTGTACAATTATTATATGTTAATCAGAAATGAAAAATAAGTAAATCAAGCAGATCACAATACCAAAAAAATCTGAAAAATCAATGTTATCCACCCCATTAACAAACATATGTGCATATGTGTGTGTGTATAATCACCTCAATAGATGTAGAAAAACATTTAGCTAAATTCTTCATCCATTCCTGATTTTAAACACTTTCAGCAAACTAGGAATACAAGGAAATTTCCTTAACCTGATAAAAGGCATCTACAAAAAAATTTTTAAAAATTAAAAATAATTAAAAAAAAAAAAAAAAAACCAAAGACCTTCAGTTAATATTATACTTAATGGCAGCTCTAATTCTAAACTCTCTCCCTGGGGGAGTTTCACCCATTCCCAGGCGTCATCATTTCTGTATGCCCAGCTCCCCTCAAATGTCAGAATGATGAACATCATCTTTATTCTGTAGGTCAGTGGGAGCAACCTTTTATGGACAAGAGTTATTCAGGGGGAAAAATGCTAAAGGCAAGCATTTAAAAAAATATAGGACCTTTTTTTAAAATTCAGAAAGTGCAGCAGCTACAGCTTCACTCACTAGCTCTTTCATAGGTTCGCATCACTAGAGTGTTTCTTTTGTTT